GTTGGTCACATCGACCTTGAATCCGATGGCTTCGCTGCCAAGCTTCTCGACTTCAGCGACAATCTCTTGGGGGTCGTTCAAATCCAAAAGGCCAAGCTTTGCACCCTGACGGGCGAGGGCGAGAGAGGTTGCACGACCCTGCCCGGAGGCAGCGCCCGTGATGAAGAAGACTTTGTTCTTAAGATCGGCGTAAGACATTGTGAGTTGTGGTTGGTCACTTTCGGTATAGAAAATTATTATGGTGGTGATTACAGCCAAAGATGCTCGACTTAAGTAGCACTTGAATTATCGAAGCCTAATGCACGGATGCTAACGGATGCCATTCCACAACTCTCGGAAGTAGTAAATAATTTCTAAGCCAAAAAAATATCCGAACATTGAATACAGAAGTTCCGGGGATAGAATCCCGGGGTATGTCATGTAGGGTTTGGATCGCCACTCCCGCCTTCGGAACAAGACGCCTTCCGTCATTTTGTTTCCGTTCTACTTCGCCAACCAAGAAATCAATGTCTGTTTCCGCTCTCTTGTATTCGAGTATTCAATACTACGGAACTCTGGGGAAGACTTTCATTGTCATAATATTTCAGTGAAGTATTTCTGTAACTCTTTCCCCACCAAATCATCGAGAATACCACACATCATTCAACTAGCAAATAGAGTGCGAATATGACTCAATCAATTTCAACTGAAAGCACTGGGGGTGAGGCGCCATGCAAGCCTATCGAGGCGACAGAGGCCTACCGCAACAAATTCCCAGTAGCCTATGAACAATCAAAGCTCCCTTTTGATACCCCGAGAAAGGTCAAGGTTATCCTCGCAGGTGCAGGTATTAGTGGAATTTCCTTTGCTCATGCTGTGGAGACTGGCCAACTACCCAACGTCGATCTTCAGATTCTTGAAAAGAACGTTGGATTGGGAGGCACCTGGCTCGAGAACCGCTACCCTGGATGCGCATGTGATATTCCTTCTCACAACTACTTGGTATGTGCATTGATAATCCTCCAGTCATTCCTCAGTACTGATATTTTCTAGTTTACATGGGCGCCAAACCCCAAGTGGTCTTCATTTTACGTCTCCGCACCTGAGATCCTTCAATATATCGACAACGTCGTTGATAAGTTCGATCTGCGAAAATATGTCACTACTTGCCGCAAGATTACCAGCGCCGTCTGGAACGATGAGAAGCAGAAGTGGATTGTCACCAGCAGAAACACAGATGGCCGTCGCACTGTCGTTTCCTCGATGGGTGTGACCGAGGGTGAGACCGGCGAAGACATCGTCGAGGAATGCGATGTGTTCGTCAATGCCAGTGGATACCTCAACGACTGGAGATGGCCCAACCTTCCTGGCCGCGAGAACTACCGAGGCGTTCTCGCCCACAGCGCCAACTACAACCCCGAAATTGACCTGCGGGGCAAGCGTGTCGCCGTCATTGGTAACGGAAGTAGTGGTATTCAAGTCACTGCAGCCGTGCAGAAAGTCGCCAGCCACGTTGGTGCCTATATCCGATCCCCGACCTGGGTTACAGCCAACTTGGGCTCAAGATTCATTGGTCAAGGTGTACCCAACATGACCTATGACGAAGAGCAACAGAAGAAGTGGATAGAGAATCCGGAAGAGTACCTCACTCTTCGCAAGGAAATTGAGAAGGAACTGAACTTCCGATTCCCCTTGTTTATCAGAGAGACCGAGTTCCAAGAGATGGCGAAGAACTTCACAAGCAAAGACATGCGCTCCAAGCTTGAGAAGAAGCCCGAAGTTGCGGATCGCATTATTCCTTCCTTTGGCGTTGGATGCCGTCGTCCGACTCCTGGACCAGGCTATCTGGCAGCGCTTTCTGCTGATAACTGTGAGGTCGTTTGGGGTGAGATCGACTCTTTCACTAAGACTGGTCTGAAGTCCAAGGATGGCACGGAGCGCGACTTTGATGTTATCATCGCCGCAACCGGTTTCGATATGTCTTTCGTGCCCCGTTGGCCAATCATCGGCCGAAACGGTGTGAATCTGCAGGAACAATGGTCTCAAGGATCCAGCCTGCTACCTGTCCGCAATTGCGCAGGATATGCCCAACTATTTCATCTACATGGGACCCGGCAGCCCGGTTGGCCACGGTAGTATGATCACCTCTATCGAGAGAATCACTCTCTACCTGGTGGACATGATCAGAAAGTTGCAACGGGAGAATTACTCTTCATTCCGTCTCAAGGATGGGAAGGCCAAGGCATACCAGTTCCAGATGCTTTCATGGCTCGAGAAGACGGTCTGGGGTGACACTTGCCAGAGCTCCTTCAAGAACGGTCTGGAGAGCGGTGCATTGCATGCCTTCCACCCTGGTTCGCGGCTGCACTACTTCGAGTTACTTCGGAGACATCGTTATGAGGACTTTGAGTGGGAGAGCCGATGCCCTGAGCCGGGTCTGGATTTCGCTTGGTTGAACAATGGTTTCTTGTCGCATGAGTTGGCTGAGGAGGAGGGTGCTGACCCTACGTATGTCTCCCCCTATATCTCTTCCCCCTTTTATGACACAATAAAACTAACAATATACTGCAGTTGGTACCTAGATCAAGATCATGCTACTTTGGTGAAGTTTGTTGGTGACAAGGCCTGAGGTTCGCTCTGTGCAGAGCGGGATAAAGTGTAAGTATTTTTGAGGATTAACCACTTACTAGATTACAACTTTCAATTTTAAAAATAGATAAAAAATTTTTGCAATCCATTCAATTTTACGTTTAGCTTTAGAAAGATAAATGTGAAGTACTATTTTAATCCTCCTGGTTATGTTCTTTTCATGCAAAAGGATTTTCTAATTCAAAGAAAAAACAATAAAAAGAATGACCAGACTGGGGTCCGGGTTGCTCAGGGCGGCACCCGGACCCGGACTAACTCAGGGTAACCAAACTGGAAAAGCGCACGGGCACACGAATTAATAATGATGTTTCTTCGTTTACGACAGTTCTCAGATCTACACCTCAACCAGAAGATATTTCAGCACCGGCGCAAACTTAAGTTACTGTTCCACGGCGCTAATTCTCACGAATCAGATTCGCGTAACGAAATCAAAACCCCACACAAAAGTAGACCTGGCCGGAGGGTCCAAGGTCCGGACCCTCCACCCGCCAAGGGACCCTCATTGAGGGTCCCTTTTCGCATAAGCGTGCATAAAACACCATTTATGAGCAGAAAATTACCTATTAAGGCATATTTATGCTTTAAAATATTACCTAAGAGGGTCCAAGGTCAAAATTTGGACCCTCCTTGGCGTAGTAGGCAAAAACCGGCACAAACGATACGCTTATATAAGCGAAACTAAGTTATATTATATTTTTTCCTGAAAGTAAAAGTGCTTCAGATATTATACATTAAATCAGAATATTTTTATCTATTTTATTAAATTTTATAGGGGGGGTTCAAAGTTACTCTCCTTGAGCGGGTATGGATGGTCCAAAATTCCGAAATAGGTTAGCGTTTGGTCCGAAATTCCCAAAGGGGATATAGTCCGAAATACATAGGATCGGCTTGGTCGAAAATGCATAAGGTCAGACCTGTATTTTGGACCAACCCGACCCTAGCGAAGCCACTAGTTGACCTTGGTCATTATCGCAAGAATTGAGGAGTCGGAATTACGTTTTATTGAATTACATTTATTAAAAAAAATGAGAACTTAAGATTAGAAACCTCAAATAAATTCATTCATTTTGTTATGCAAGTATGACATGATACGTATAATTTGCCCAACTCGCCATCAAAATAGCTCACTACGTATAGTGCTCACTAGCCCTCAATTTAAACTCCCCATGTCAATATCAGTTACAGCAGCCTTCGATTTTCGTCGGTCTCCTGTAAACATCATGTTTGTTTAATTTCTCTTCTTCAGCTGAACCATCAAATCGTTCTTCTCCCATAGGAAGAAAGTCTTCTGATTTTCCCATCCAATAGACTCAGGAAGAAGAGAAAACTCGAAGTTGAACAACATCTTCGAAAGAATGAGGCGCATTTCGTGGTATGCCAGACTATTGGATCGTTAGCTATTTGCTCTTTTTGGGATATCCTAGGAAAGACATACTTCTTTCCAAGGCAGTTGCGGGGGCCAAATGAGAATGGCTGGAAGGCTGCCTTATTATCACTGGCAAATTCATCACCGATCCAACGCTCAGGAATGAATTCGTCTGGCAGTCTGAAGTTTTTGGGGTTGTGGAAGGTAGCCCATTGCTGAACGGCAACAGCGGTCTAAGGTGATTGTAATGTCAGTCGTCCATCGAGCATCAAAATATGGAGTGCACAATTACCTTTCCAGGAATACGGTCTCCGCAAATAGTCAATCCCTCGTCAGGCACAATACGAGGCAGACCAACAGGAACTGGGGGGGTAGATGCGCAAGCCCTCCTCAATGCAGGCATTGAGATAAGTCATGTGTTCCAGGGCTCGCATATCAATATCCTCCTCCTTCTCAAAAGTCTCAAGAATCTCCTTCACAATGAGGTCCATCTTGGCAGGGTCCCTCAGCAGGTGGTAAAGGATTCCACTCAGCGCAGTGGCGGTAGTCTCAGTACCAGCAACCATGAAGACCTGCGAGTTGGCATACATCTCCTCACGGCTAAGGCGCAGATGCTGCTTCTGGTTCATCACAATACCCCAGATATCAGGCTTGGTCGACGCTTGGTTCACATCAATTCGTGTATCAACACGAGCCTGAGAAGCCTGGTAGTGAGAGATGCTTTGCTGCTTCAACTCCTCTGGAATGAGGCTCCGAGCAATAGACGCAGTCGCAGGCCAGTAGCGAGCCAGTCTGCGCAAAGCATTGGTCTTCATACTGACGAACACGGCAGCAACCCAGTTCAAGTTTCCAGTGCCAGCCAACAGATCCAAGGAAGCACCGAATGTCAAATCACCCATAATATCAAATGTAGTCAGATTCAACATGCGAACCATGTTGACCTTCATCTTGGGATCCTGCTTGATATCCTTGTTGAGTCTCTCAATCAACATATCCACGTACTGACAGATCAGCGGCTGTTGATCGCGAAGAGCACGATCAGAGAAGGCGTGCGAGAAGTTGCGTCGGAAACGTGAGTGATCGGTTCCATTCGCGCGGATGATATCTGACGCTCCGTTGAAAGAAGGGCCGTAGAATCGGGCGTCCTTTTCGGTGACTTTCTTTCCGGCAGCAGCGTGACCGTAGATTCCTTTCCAGGCTTCTCCGCTGGCATAGCTTAGCTCGTCTGGTGCGACGCGAACGATATCACCGTGCTTGACGTGGAGTTTATTGATCCATTGGAGCAGGTCGCCTTTGAAGGTGTGGTAGAGTTGGGGTATCCGTGATGCGGCAGCGAATTTTGGCCCTGGATATTTGGCGATTGGGTTAAGGAAGACTGCGTAAAATGTCTGAGAGGCAAAGAAGAGTGCAATCTAACCAGAGTATGTCAACGACGTATCTCTGGTAAGTTTGGATAGGGAGTGCTCAAGGGAAGGGGAACGGGTATGTTGGAGATGGTAGTATGTGGCTATCAAAATACAAACATACCGAAGTGAGAATAACTTGAATCCAGTTCTCCTGAACATAGATTGAAGCAGATTCAAGAAGCATCTTGGATCAGGGCCAGTCTGCGTCTGGCCGTGATTAGATGTGTTAATTTGACAGCATAACAAGACAAAGAAAATGAAAAAAAAACAATTGACATCTAATATATAGATACGCTAGCTTTTATGCGTCCTTAATTGAAGCTTATGCATCGGAAACGGTGCACAGCATTGGTGCCTTTTAGGCTTTCTGTAGCGTTGGGCAGCACGGAGTACCTTCTTCAGTCCGGGATTACGACGTATTTGACCCACTATGACCCTACGATGCGGGTATACTATTCGAAAATCTCGGTTTTATTCACGTGTCTCAGCATAACGTTGGGTTATTTCATTTACACGGAACATAAATGGCTCCGCGGAACAGCCACTACCCCACTAGGGTCTCCATACTTGTTTCCGAGTCAACATCCTGTGACGTTAGTGCACCATTCCGGGGTTAGTACCTCATGTTCCGAAAATAATTGGCGAGCGGTAAACATGTAACAGCAATTTCTACGCACCGTCTCGCAGATCAACTAGACGTCTAGAATGTACAGAAAAAAGTGGATTCGATAGGGAAGAAAAATGAATTTAAAGTCATAATTCGATTGTACAAGAAACTAAATGTATTACAAAAGATCCCCTCTGAACCGAGTTGCGGCACAATCTAGCGAAAGTGGAGCCTCGAACGCCATGTCTTCGAACGCCAAATCTTCAGAGTCCATGCCCATTAGAAATTGGCACTGTAATTCGTCCAATCTGAAAATTAGACCCTCGGTCGGTAAGCTTTCAGGTATCACCGCGGAAGAGGGCAGAGAGCTCTGGTTCTTTGGCTCTGAATGCCCGTGTGCTGTGGAGCTTCTGTCCTGTCCCGATCGATCCACAAAGGTTTTCCAAAACGTTTGAGAGAATACGTCCAAATCTGCAGAACAATTCAATGGGTAGTTTTGATCTGCTGAATTCTGTCGTAATGGAGATGCTTTAAATTCTTCAAACGGTTCGAATACGCTGTCGGAGGGTAGAAGATCTTGTAGATACTGGTATACCTTGGATGCCGTTGCGACTGATTTGGATAGCGTTTGAAGAAGTTGGCTCGCACCGTACACCATCCCCTTCAGAGTTTCGTTTGAGACAACAGGAGTTGGGTGGTTCTCTTCTGGGATGAGATGGTATAGACTCTCGATTAGCGTGGTAGTAAGAATGTACCCGGATGGTTTCAAATAAGTGGTTATGATCATGTAGCTTCGAATTGCTTCGATGATTGCTTCGCAAATTGAAACTGATGTTTTACGACGCTCAAGGTCATGCTCTTTAGACGTGAGAGGCTTATGACGGATGCTCAGACGAAGAGATTGGAATCGCTAGAAGTTATATTAGCGTGCTAAGTTTTTAATGCCGAGATTGATGAAGAATGCATACCAAGAACCCGATCAGTCTCTGGCGGATTTGTGCTTCTCCTTCAACGCACATATACTCTGCGGCCATGGAAGACTTCCAAAGAAGGCTTGACGGGATTTGCCGATAAGACAGAACAATCCGTGTGTCCATTATCTGCAGCTCCTCCCAGTTATCGGCCTTTGGAGCCCGGGGTGAAAAGAAGCCGTCCCAGATGTGAGCCCACAGACGACTAAACGAAATTAGACTCTGTAGCACCTCGTGCTTGCTTGAGCACATATCGCTGTGGGCCTTGCTGAAGTCGCTCACGGCACTTTCATCCTCGCGCAGGAAGTATGTGATGCCACATTTTTGGGTAATGCGCTTGTCAAGGAAATAAAGAGTCCACCAAAGTCCCTGGCGAGATACCAATTCGCAATTATCACTGGGCCATAGCGCTTGGTTGTTGAGTCCAATCTTCAGCGCAATTTGAAACCCTTGCGTGATGCTCTGTAGCGACATGTGATGCATGGACATCTCGAGAAGAAAGGCAGATGAAGTAATGTGGTAAATGACGGTTTCAAGGTCGGCATCGTGGAGTTGGTTGAAGTGCTGCATCAACCTTAGCCCTTGCAAGTAACTACGCGAAATTGGTCGCGACTTGCAGGACTCAATAGGGAGAGTGAGGGACTCGGCATACGCTAGCATGTTCAAAAGAAAGGCGATGATCTTGCAATTATCAGGTCCTATCACAATTCGATGGCCGTCTGCATCATATTTATGAAGTGACAGAACCACTGACAATCGATCATAAATCATGGCTTGTTTCAGGCATGGAAAGTAGGATTCAAATTCCTGGAAAAATACACTGACAAGCTCCCAAAGGACTTGCGGTTCAGGTAAAGTGACCGTGGCTTGTGGAGGTTGAGAAATATCTTCCGCGCTACCCATAGTACTACTTCGGCGCATACTTCGCAGGGCATTGAGTTGGGAGCCGATTGGTAGGCTGTTGAGCGAGGGGGGTTGTAGCTCCGAGCATATCCGGTTCCATCGGTTCCCTCAAGGGACTTGGAATATCTTGTGATGAGGGAGCAAAACTGCCAATCGAGTGATTGTCAAAAGCATTATTTTCTGAGATATCGCATATAGAAGGCGAAATTTCCTTAGGGGACCGATCCAAGTCTGTCGTCCGCATGTTATAGGATACCATGGCAGGAATGTCTGTGCCGGAAAAGCTTCGTTGTTCGGAGAGTGCTTTTACTTGATCTTGAAGTTGTGAGAGCTGCGCTCTCAAGGAGATGGAGGTTTTGCTTCGTTTTCGCGGTTGGGGCTTGGGGGACATTTCTGAAGTGGAACTGGATTCTATCAGCATCTGCTTTCAAAAGTCAACAATGGAACTTACTCATTGCTGGGACGATTCTTCTGGATTGGCATTTCATGTTGACTGTCGCCCGCATATTGGCAGTCGATTCTCCTGGTCTTACAGCTGGAACATTTGGGCTCCCCCGAACACTTTGAGTGCGTTAGTGACACCATTTCAAACCATGCCCCAGGCAAAAGATTAAACGTTACTAACCTTGACTTTACGGTGTTGACATTCGAAACTAGTACACGGGTTAATACTGTCGGTAGGTGAGAATCGACCACACTTACCATGCTTGTAACGTATATTTGTCACGCTTGGAGCCTTCCTTGCGACTTGCTTCCTTCGGCATTGGAGAGAATGTTGTCTTTTACAAATGAGTGTGTTGTATTCCTCTCATAGAGAAGCTCAATACAATAAGCGATGGATTTCAAGAGGAAATAAATTTTTATGGAAGAGAGTAGGAAAACACGGGACAGAGAGAACTTTATGACGTGGCGGGGAAGGCGCAGATCCCCGGCGGGGTTGTTGCTGCATAACTCGTGCGGGGAAACCTGGGTATGGCGGGTACTCCGGTAATCGCTAGTCAATGACATAGTTTTGTTTTCACGGTATTCCCCACTCCGCAACTATGATCTTTGATCAATAATTGGTCGCATGCCAAGGGGGCCTGGATTGACTTTCCAGTCCTTCGTCCAGGTGATCGGGTCCCAATGCCACGGCTTCTGTTCATAATTCATAAATCGAAGGTTGGGGTTATTTGTCGGGCGTCGGGGTAAAATGAAGAATCCAGAAAACGATGTGCTGACACAAGGTACTCAAGTAATTCATCTTCCAGGTGAAAAAGCCCGTTGGATTTATCTTGATACTGCGAAGACCGTAGATAAGCCCACATGTGTATTGCAGGTCTGCAGGAAAAGAAAAAAACCTGAGCACAGATAAATTGGAAGGTCATGCATTCTTTAATAAAATTCAAATTTTAGGCTAACTAGATGAGAAGGCGTTTGGCGATCTTAGAACATTTGAAAAAGCAATATCTACGGAATGTTAGTTCCACGGAATCACTTCAGATTTCCGCTTTGCTACCGGGTGGGGTGGGTAGCCAGCGCATGCATGTATATTTTCGGAGTATATATGGGGTTATACATCGCCAAAACTAAGTGTGGGTCTCGAAAGATAGAAAAAACCTCGAATCTTTACAACAAATTTTTATTCGAACTGCATTTTGGAAGTAAACCGCCATCATGTCGAATAAAGTGAAAACACTGGATGGAGTGGCCCTGGTCACAGGCGCAGGTTCGTGACGAACTTACTCCCCCCCCCCCCACCCACCCAAATAAATTGCGAATGGCAGCTTATAGTGATAAACAGGTTCTGGTATCGGCCGTCAGATCTGCCTTAGCTATGCTCAGGCGGGATGTAAGGCTATTGCCTTGGCTGATCTCAACGTTAAGGGAGTCAACGAAACCATTGCGTTGCTCAAAGCCGAAGGGTATAACGTGGAGACCCTGGCCTTGGAAACAAACGTCGCAGATCCTATTTCAGTGAGGAATGTGGTCGAGCAGACTGTCAAAGCATTTGGAAGCTTGGATTATGGTTCGTCTTTCGACTTGATGCAAGGCTGAGGCTAACATTGGAAACGCAGCCGCCAACGTCGCCGGAATCACAACAATCGCTCGAGTGCCAACCGCCGAATATCCACACCAAGAGTATGATAAAATTTTGGAAATCAACGCAAAGGGTGTCATGATCTGCATGCAGGAACAGGTGAAGGCGATGAAGAAGCAACCCGCTAAATGCACTCCTGGAATCGACAATCCACGCCGAGCGCAGCGAGGAAGCATCATCAACATTGCCTCCGTCACTGGATTCGCTGGGTTGCAAAACATGATGCCGTACAATGTCTCCAAACACGCTGCGATTGGTCTCACGAAATCCGCCGCCATTGACCATGGCTGCGACGGGATTCGTATCAACGCTGTGTGCCCGGGTATGACCGAGACACCCATGGTTGCAGCTCGGACAACTTCTATCCCCGGGAAGGCCAGCGGCTGGGCAGTGGATGGAAACACAAGGCAGCGACTTGCACTTCCCGAGGAAATCTCTGATGTTTGTATATTTTTGAGCGGTTGTGGTGCCAGCTACATGTCGGGGGGGGTCGGTTGTGGTCGATGCGGGACATCTGGCAGCATTGCGTTATGAGAGCAACCTGTAGCTTTAGGAGTTAGTACTGCTCCATTGAAAGGAACCTTAGAGGGTCAATAGAATTATTTCATTCAGCTGCTAAAGCGTTTTGATATGGAGAAGAAGAGAGACAAGAAGAGCGAAGGATAAGACGGTTGCAGCCGCGACCGGGAGTTTCAATCAATCGTTCATAACAATAGAAAATTTACATATTCAGCTCACAGACTTGGAAATTATATAGAGTATCGCCTGTTATACGGCCTTTCCCCTTTTTTGCATGTAGTTAAAACTTGATAGTTATGTTAGTGGGTTAACCAGTAGCTACATCACGAACGAAATTCCTGCCCGATATTCCAGGCCTGAAGCTTAGATACCAAGTCACGTAAATTGCTTTCTCTCTTAGGTACATAGAAGCACATGCAGGCCGCCGAGATCATGGATGGCATAGTTGTGCGTGTTTGGGCTTGACACTTTGATTCTACCGCTATCTACGGACCTGTAAAGAGGAAGGCACCAGTTGACAGTAAACATTGAGGATGATTCAGCCCAAGTTGACTTCATTTCCAATGTCTATCCTTCCTTGTTTGGGCCCCTAATAGAAATCAACTCCTAGTCGCAGGGTAATACATAGGGGGTCAAAAGTCTGTTTACATATCTGAATTTATATCCACGCCCCCTTTTCCAATTAAACTTCACCACCCCATATCTCCACCACTATGAGGTCTTTCGGCATCGAAATTAGTGGTAATCGGCCGCGTGGAGCTGAGCTTTCGGAAACCACTCGTGCTGCTATTGTTTATGCCCTTGAACAGGGTGGAAAACCCACCCAAATTGCAAAAGATCTACATATATCGCGTCAAACTATCTACAACACCAAAAACCACTTCTAAAAGTATACACACGTCAAAATAAACCCCCGATCAGGCCGCCCACGGAAGCTTACCCCGTCTGAGCGTCGATATATGTTCCGTCTAGTACGCCGCAGCCCTACAATAAGCTATAAAGCCCTTTTGATTGATACCGACTTTAAAGTATCAACATCAATATTAAAACGCGTCCTAAAGCGCTGTAATATCCGCAAATAGGTTAGCAAGAAGCGTATCTTTCTTAAAAAGCATAATACAAAAATTCGACGCGCCTTTTGCCGAAAATAGGGTAGTGTGCTACATTTTGATGATATAATCTTTTCCGATGAATGTTCCGTCTAACGTAAGTCAAATTCTATCCACCAATACGTATTCTTATTTAAAAATAAGCGATACAGGAAGGATCTTGTGAACCTTATAAATTATGGCAAAGATATCCGGCAGATAGTTTAGGGATCTATCTAGCTTAGTGGTCGCTCAAAGTTGATACTTATGGAACGCGATGCTTTTTCGAAAAAGAACGGCTACACCACGAATTCATATCTTAATACCCTCGAGGAAGCGCTCCTACCTATGTACGAGCCTAGCATAATATTCTTGCAAGATAATACGCGTATCTACGTGGCACAAATTGCAAAAGAATAGTTCGAAGAGTATAGGATATAGGTAATAGAATGGCCGCCGTATTCGCCTAATTTAAATCCTATTGAGAATATCTGGAACTTACTTAAATAAAAGCTATTCGAGCTTTATCCACAGCTTGCCTAGCGTGGGCGTTCTAAGATAGATTAGAATGAATTCCGCAAAGCCCTAGTCATCGTATAGGATAACGTGGTCGGTAAGCGAGTGGCGCATGTAAGCGAGCGGCGCACCCGCCCACTTTTTCTCTATATCTTGACACTTTTATCGACCACAACGCCTTTATATTGATTAATCTCTAGCTTTACATGTATTCCTCTTATGTCCGATCTGTCCGCAATTAGTACATTGGGGTGGACGCCGCGTCTTCGGTGCTGGTGTGTCCTGCGGTAGTAGGCTTGGTGGAGCTAGAATTGCCTGAGAGGGCTCCTCATGAGCTTCCTCGAGCTCTAATGCTTCTCGTACGGATAGACCGTCATCGTGGGCTATCCATCTAGTCTTACGAGCACGCTTTCGCCTTTGCGTAGCGTTTGCGGCACGTAGCTGCTTATTTTCGTGCTCGAGAAGTATACCGTTCTGCATTGCGATCTGACAGCCTTTAATAAGCTGGTTTAACGCGGTTTGCGAAGGCGATGGCGGACTTTTTGAGCGTCGCTTTAAGAAAGCTTTGATTGAGGATGCTTGCTTTAAAAGCTCATCGATATTCGCGGGCGTATGTGGGTAAAAAGCGCTTGATTGACTACCGCGGCTTATGGGAGGTGTCGGCGTCCGAAGTTGAATATTAAGCTTTGATAGCACTTGTTGAGGATCAATCGGCACTAATCCTGCTGCTCGGAAGCTATTTTGTATTGTAGTTGGTTTATAAGCGTCGACGCGAGCTTGTGGGTATGTAAAAAGGAAGTTAAGTTTGTCGATATGGTTGATCCCGAGCCGCATCTTTTGGTCGATTAGACCGCCGTATGAACGCTTTAAAATAGCAAAACATCCGATATCAAGAGGCTGAAGTAAATGCGAGGAATGCGGTGGCATACAGATTGGGATAATTTCATGATCCGCGCAGATTTGATCGAACTCTGGTGTTAGATGACTCCCGTGTCCGTCGAGGACTAGAAGTCGATATCTTCCACGCGTACGATAATTTGTTGACGGAATAAATTGTTTTTGAAGCCAGCGAAGGCCTATCTCGTCGGTTGTCCATCCATTTGCACTAACTTCGAAGCGCCAGTCGGGTGGAAGGTCTTCAAACCATGCTTGATTATATTTTTGGCCTTTAAAAATAAGCGTCGGCGGAAGCACCCACCCCGAAGCGTTAATTGACTCAATTACAGTTACCCACTCGCGGTTTCCTGGCTGTAAAACTGATCTCCGACCGTAGTATTCTGATCGGGTAATCACCTTTTGGGCCGTACAGAGGCCCATTGCGAAGCCAGTCTCGTCAAAGTTATAGATATCGTCCGGTAAGATACCATATTGCTGAATTGTGGCTTGTACGAGGTCAAACCACGCTCGAATGATCTTTGGATCCTCTTGTTCTGCCCGTTGGTAATTATAGCGTCGAGAAAAGCGAGCTTTAAGCTCTGGACGGCGCTGGGTGAAGTTATATACCCATTTTTCGCCGACGGTCTGGATGGGGGTAGAACCGCGCTTCGCAAGTAGAATATTCGCCATTTCTCGTACGTGAGCTTGCGTAGGGGCTGCACCGCGTGAATCTAGCGATAATATCCGTTGCTGGAGTATATCCTCTTCGATTTGGGTCAATTTATGACCATTTGCGCGACGTTCAGCGCGGTTTGTAGTACCGCGTAGTCGACGGCGGAGCGTGGTTCCAGGCACATTAAATCGACGTGCCGTCTCGCGTATAGACGTGATTTCCTTATTTTGAATGGCTTGTATAGCAATTGATAAACGGCCCTCTTGCTGGACAGAATCCTGGCTTGATCCGACACGAATTGGAGGCATAGTGCTTGATGGAAGATAAATGGACGCGCGGAGATGCGAAAAAGTGGGCGGGTGCGCCGCTCGCTTACATGCGCCACTCGCTTACCGACCACGTTAGCATTAATTAGGCTAAAATTAAGAATTTTATCAGATCTATGCCTCGCCGCATTGCCGCGGTACGAAAGACAAAGGGCTGGTATACGAAATACTAGATAGTTATTATATGCATCCAGTTTGAACTGAATATCTTTTAAAATGGTAGAGAAATTAAAGAAAATAAAATGGGAAGATAGAGGCGAAATTGGTGTGTACACGGACTTTTGACCCCTTATGTAATCCCGTAGCATACCCACACCGCTTCGGGTGTTGGTCCGCCGGGGCCCAACGCAAATTTGGATCCCAACACACATCTTGAAGCTATTCACACCTATTTTTCCTCCACACCTATAAATATCCCTTATTAAATTGATATCCAGGCGTTAATGGTATCCTACTTGGTGTCCCCGTATCTTTAACTTGGTCCGTAGCTGAATTAGGGGTTAAAGATAAGCTTAGAGGCGCCACCTTCCCTTTCCGGACACTCGCTGTATGCTCCATTTCCTTCTTTACTGAAGTCCGGCGTCTCGTATCCTTTATAGTTATAGCACCGAATTTGCCGATATACCTCTGTGATTTATAAGTATTTAAAGGTATAGGCGGTAGCTAGTGCTAAATAGTAGACTTTAGAAGGCTAATCTCCTCTGCTATCTAGTGTAGTGGGAGAACTGGTGACATAATGAGCCTGGGTGTGGCCTCAGGCATGATTTAATGTCTGCAGTACATAGTACATCTCCAGACACACTTAGAGAAAGACAAGTTATCTACCTAATTCATTCAGGGTTCACCCAATTTCTTCTATCTATAATACAGTATTAAGATTATCCCGCACGGCTGCAATAGGGTATCAGTACGGCCTTATCTAGTATCCTCTATATCAGACAGGCAGTATATATATATATGTTATTTAGTCTGTATCGCCAGATAGCTATCGAGCCATTACTATTTTAATTAGCGTCCCCGGGAAGGCTCTTTTATTAAGGTATATCACTATATAAAGAAATACATACCTAAAGGGTGGGGATCGCGTTTAACCCTAAAGGTTATAAGACTATCTGAGACCTTAAGCGGGAGATTATATTCACTAATAATTATAACGGTATATAGTTAGTGCGGGCAAATAAGAGTGACTAGCTAAGATATAATATTCTCCTAAATATACCTAGTTCCTATAAGGAATACTATCGGACTAATATATAGAAGATATAGCGGTACTTCGGATACTACTAAAGATATAGCCTATCTAATTAAAAATAGTAGCCGAGTAGGGGTGCCCTAATATGCGATAGCTATAGCACTCTACTATATAAATAATATTAATATAAATAATTCTATATTATAAATTATAAGAAAAGGAAGTAGCCTCGATAAAGAGAAAGGAAGAAAAAAAAGAATTATTAAAGAGATACTGTAAAGGAATACCAAGGACTAGCGGTGAAGGTCTACCCCGCAGTGTAATAAGTAAGACTCGGGCCCGAT